TCCTCAATTGTCCTGATCGTAAATGACCTGTGGTTAGGTCAACAATTCGCATACAAGCTAAAAGACATCTATTGCAGCCATTCTGCTGATGCACAACGTCCGAGCAATAACCATGACCGTTCGGTCGGTATGTAGCTTTCGGTAAGAGTTCTCCTGCTACTCCATTCGCTCGAACGATCCGGTATTAGTTGGTAATATCTTCGAGCTTACATGAGTTCGAGCGATGTCTGATCGAAAGTATTCCACCCGGCCCAATAGCGAGTTGCGGAGTTCGATCGTTGCATACAAACGACCAGTTATGTTGAGAAAGAGGCCCAGAAAAAGTTTTTGCTTCACCTTTTCCGATCAACCATCTGATCCTCCCGCATACCGACGATTTATTCGAGCACGTGAAATGACTCATTTTCATTCAAATTACCGAAAAGGTTGTAATTTCTCGTTCCGATCTCATTTTCTCGACTTTCTCGATATGATTAGGCGGTAAATCAACGAGGAATTACTTTCCCGAATTACGTGGTACTTTTTAATATCATGTTATATCTTGGGGAATAGTTTATAAAATATTGTGAAAGGTTTGGTTAGTTTTTCAGTCTTTGGAAAATATGCTCAAGTTGGAAGGTAGAGAAAACTTTTTCAATTCGAAAAACATATTTCATTATTCATTTATAACCACTAAATTTGTCTTCAAACCACTTTTTGAAATTTGATATGTATAAAAAAGCTTAGTCATCGCAGATATACCAACGATCCAGAACTCTCAATTATTCCACCTTTCATTTCAAATAGAAGCAGGAAAAAACTTTCGGTGGAATTGTAATTCAAACATCATTTTAAGAAATGATTTGAATGATGAACTCCACAGTTTTCGACTTTAGCCCAATCGACTTGAGGAAAGCGGTTGACAGGTGCTTTGATAAGCTGAGGTCTTTAATGTTGTTCAAAGAGAACCCACGCATTGGTTTTTCTGATGCTGTTTTGCCGCAGGAGTGAAGTGATCTCTACGGGTTCGAACTCGGTGACAGAGTAGTGACCATCTTTTCAATGTCGAAAACTAAACCAAGTTCACCTGCCGCTCGCGCAGCAGTCCTAAACAGAAATGCTTCAATTCTTGCCCTCTCATGGGCGAGGACAAGCAAAGAAGGGGATCCGAACTCCTAACAACTTTACCGGCTCCATTCAGTACCGTTCTATCATGTAGACACTACAAACTCAAAAGTCCACAGCCTCCCTGTTGTCGGGGGAAGTACAACCGTGGAACAGATTATTATCATTATCATTTTTATACCTAAATAACAAATTGGTTCAATTGAACCAATGAAACCAATGAAATTTTAATTCTATTATCCGGTGCCATTAGGTGTATCGATGGTTATCAACACTGCATAAAATATAGATATTGCTGTTCCGAAACAATAATTGTACTCATCGATTCTGATACTGATTGATCGTGACATAACATTTTATAATATTTGAATGCGGGTGATATAGAGCTGGAAAATTGAGAAACGAGAGAGCGAATGCGAAAATAACGAACTGATCTTGTTTGCATTAGTGTCACAGCAAACACAATTTTCAGGCTCGTATCCAGTACCGTAACCATTGGAGAGGAGTATACAGAGTGTAACTAAATAAGCAAAACATTTAAGGAGGTGATTCCTCATCGAAAAAAAAATAGGATCCTTCATATAAAGAAATTTCATTGGAGCGTCCCTTGTTAAGATACAGCCCCTTAAAGGTAGACATATTGAACATTTACTATGATTTCTACATGTTGTGTGTTTTGTTATTAATAAATTGGTTTTGTTTATTACCCTTTAATCGTTTAATGCAGGTACTAACTACAAAATAACAATAAATCCAGTTCGCATTTATGAC